GCCGTGGCGTCAGCCTAGCTCACAGCAACCTCAAACTCCTGGGCTCAAGCGATCCTCCTGCCTCAGCCTCCCGAGTAGCTGGGACTACAGGCATCTACCACCATGCCTGGCTAATTTTTTCTATATATATTTTTAGTTGTCTAGATCATTTCTTTCTATTTTTAGTAGAGATGGGGTCTCGCTCTTGTTCAGGCTGGTCTCGAACTCCTGAGCTCAAATGATCTGCCCGCCTCGGCCTCCCAGAGTGCTAGGATTACAGGCATGAGCCACCGCACCCGGCCCCAGTTTTGTTTTATAAACCCTCATGTCGAGGGTTGACTTTAACAAGACTTCTATGAAAAAGTAACTCTGCAGCACTCGAAACGGCAACCTAGAGGATGTTTAGTAGCACACAGGTTCCCACAAACATGTAATGCACTGTGCTCTGGCTCCCAAAGGGAGAGATCCTATGTACTGGACCCTGGCCTACCCTAGCCCCAGAGGAGCCTGATGGAACTTGGTGTGTGGGTACCAGTGAGGGGAAGGACAGGGACAGCAAGAAATTAGATTCCTAAGGCCGACTATCTTGCAGTTGGTGATTTCACACCACTGTTCCACTAGCCAAGCACATTCACCAATCCTAGTATGTTCTTTGTCAAAATCATTTTTTTCCTTAATAGCTGTTGAAGATCTCAGCAGGACTCGTTCCCTCAGTAGGATGTAAACTTCTTTAAGGCAGGAATAGTGTCTGGATGGCTGTTACCCAGGTGCTTAACACTGTGCCACATAACAGTACTCAATAAATATTTGCTGAATAAATGAAATTTATAAATTTCTTGTTTTTATGTACTTGTTACGGTCTCATTTAAAAAAGCAAGCTTTGGCATTCTTGATTATTTGTAAAATACAGGATTTCTAGCAAGCTTCATTTTTTTCTGCCAGGTGTTTATCAGTCAAGGAAAAGTGACCTACAGACACAGGCCAGAGAGAAACAGCAAACAGAAACACAGGACTCTGATAATCTAACCCATTCTTACTTTCATCTATGTTTAAAGTGATCTGAACTCTGACTGATTACCTGCAATGCTACAAATGGCAAGTACATAGGCAAGAGTAAAGGAAAGGGAAGGAAAGAAGCTCCTTCTGTTTTGTTTTTGTTTTTTTAAAAGGCTTATGGTAAAGTTAATAAAAGGGAACTTTTTAAGGTTTTGACTGGTGGGGATAGCTGGGAATTGCACTAATATTTTAGGGGCCCAGTACACTATTGGTCCTTTACACCTGGGCAGGCAGCTTACTTGCTAAGTATTACTGTCCACAGCTATGTTTTCAAGATAGTGGAGTGCTTAACTCAGGAACAAAAAAAAAAAAAAAAAAAGCCTTGTGCATCTGCAGTATTAGTCCTAAAAGACTGTGTGAATTCCATATACATGTCCACACTCACACAGATTACTCACTTTGAGTATGAAGTTTGTATGTTTTCCAAAAAAGTAAAGATTCTTAAGATGGCTAATGCATTTCATTTTATTTTATTGTTTTTCTATTTTCCTTTTAGAAACCCTCATGTCAAGGGCTGACTTTAACAAAACTGCTATAAAAAAGTAGCTCTGCTGCACTGCAAACTGCAACCCAGAAAGGTTTAGTAGCACATAGGTTCCCACAAACATGTAATACATTGGGCTCTGGCTCCCAAAGGGAGAGATCCTATGCACACCAACAGTTTATTATAATAACTACTTCGATTTTTGTATTTTCCTATTTGACTTTACTATCTGTTTATACACATCTAGATAGGTAACTGTTATGATACAAAGGTGATGTAACAGTTTTCACACACCACTTTAAGGCATATCCCTTAGAGGCTTACCAGGACTTTATCCATCTTCTTTAATTTTAACTTCCTCTTTGACAATAAGGTCAATTTAAACATCCTCATTAAAGCCATCAAAGTGATCTTACACAAGCTAAGATAGGGTTTCTATAAATTAGTGTTTTCTATCAAGTGACAGAATCAAGAGTGCTTAAAAAATTTTTAAGAAAAAATTTTGGTTTTTAACTTAAAGCAAAGGAAGCTAAGAAGGCACTTGTCTGTGCTGCCCAGCAGCTGCAGGTTACCTCATTAACGTTGATCTTTGACTTTGCAGAAGATTCTAAAAAGGCACAGTTACACCACTGTCTTGCTAAATTCTGGCCTTGTTCTTTGCCAACTACTCGCTCATCTTCCAGGTCACATTTATTGCCAACCAAAATCATTGGAACCTGTGGAAAGGAAAAAACATAAAATGAGCATTACGCATTACTTAGCCTCTTTTAATGAATAAGCAATTACATGCCACCAACTAAAATGTACTAGGTTAGGACTGTAAGCTTTACCAAGTGCTAACAAAAAATGTATGCATGTGTGTTGAGGGGAAGGTGGAAGAAGGAAGAGATTAAAAAAATATGGAAGAGATCCTACTATTAATACATACATATGTTAAATTATTTTATGAATATAATCCCCAAATTCTCATGTGGACTACTATTAATAACTGAATTTCAAGCAGAAAAATATGAAGGAAAAGGAACCTCTTGCAATATACAGAGAATAAACTCATTGGGCCTAACTGGTTTAAGTGCTTCATCTCACAGGTCCAACAAATGTCAAAAGTAGTGGCAAGACCAACATTGTAATAGGTTCTACTTCTATATTTGACATCTACATCTGAAGACTTATTTAGGTGAGATGTTAAGGAGGATCAAACAAGGAGGATCAAAATAAAGCCACAAAGCAGCTGTATCTTCCCCTTTTCTCCATACCGTAGTCGCTTGGCTACATCCATCTACAACTCCCTACTTCCAGTAAAACAGGTGTATTAATTTCCTTAGTTAAAAGGTGTCCAGAGAACAAAGTCATTTATTTGAGGTGACAGACACTATAAAAAAGAATGAATTTAAGGGACATGGTGGACCTTCTACTTAAAATAAGCAATTATCATGAGTTAAACATAGTCGGCATTCAAGACTCCATCTTTTCTAGCTAATTACATGGAATGAAAGAATTAAAACTGTCAGAGCTCAATGATTTGCACATAATTGTCTATGAAAACAGAACTCTCTTGCATAAATTAGTCATGGGAAGGAAGAAAATTATTCATTATGTTGCAGTTGGTCATGAGTCATATGGTATAAATCTCTCCTGCCAACAATATTACTCAAGGTGAAGGTTCTGAACAGATTTACATGCTCCCATTATTAGAGAGAAAACACAAAAACAGAAAGAAAAGTAAAACTAAAATTTTATATCCTAATTTATATAACTGAAAGGAACTCTCTATAGTTCAAAACTGAAGTAAATGTAAAAATATACATTTTTTTTTGCAAAAAGAAAACAACAACAAAAACAATGTTATTCATCGAATAAGACAAGATTCTAAAATAAAAATCCAGTTAATTAAAATCTTTAACATCATTCAAAGGAAAAAATACATATAAGTAAAAATGTATTATATCAACAGAATTTCACAAATAGGAGTATACCTTTATGGTTCTTAATAATGTTCTCTGAATACTGTTTTTGACATAACTACCACCTTTCAGAGCTGGAGTCACACTTCTTCTATGAAGTATTCTCTGACTCCTCTTCTCTATTGCACTTTTTAGCCACATGGTGCAATAAACACTTTATCACATGTCCTCATTTTCTAAACAGCTCAGCACATAATTTTGTAGGTTAATTTTGAAAGTTAAAATTTTTTTTTTGGTCACAGGGGCTCTTTTAGGGATGTGGTAGATATCTTTACTCTACTGATAGAGAAACCAGACACGTTTTTATTTGGTCACAGAGAGATGGCAGTATGTCTTATAGAGAGAAAAATACTTACATCTTCTGTGTCCTTAACCCGTAAAATCTGTTCTCTCAGGTCCTGTAAGTCGTTAAATGTGGACTGAGCTGTAATAGAATATACTAGTGCAAACCCTTGGCCATTCTTCATATACAAATCCCTCATTGCTGTGAATTGCTCCTATAATTAAAAAAATATGCAATTATAAATATATAAGTTTCTTGAATGTATACTGGAACAATTTAAAACAATAATCGCAAGTGAGCTACTACTTTTTTTATTACATGTTACCATGACAGAAAACATAAGACATAATAGTTTCTGGCAACTAGAAACAATGATAATGAACTGTAGAATTAGAAGGAATTCCTAACCATCTTAATTGCTTTCGTGTTATTTAGCAGAACTGTATATAACTCTTTTTTTATACACAGATCCTAATTAGTCTTGATCCTAATTAATTTTATTTGCAAACATACAACACAACCACTGCCCAAGTGGAAACAATCTGAAGTATAAATCCAACACTGAACTATAAAATTATTTGTTTTAATTTTAGGCCCATTTCCTCTTATTTGGTGACAGTCATTACTGTATAACTACAGATATTAATATACGAAAAAATTTTATTTAAAAAAGTTTTGGGATTTTATATACAGTATTAAGAAAGCACATATGGTAGAATATTAAAAATGTATATATGTTGGGTCTTTGCTTTGGATCTTTGCACCTCTGGGTGCGCAAACATAATATACCAAATCCACATTCTTAAGTTTTTGGTGCCTGGGTTGCTGGCTCCCATCATCACACTACCTCTATTTGTCTATTACATCTAGTGCCAGTTGTTCCACCTTGGCTGATGCACTTCTTTTGTATTCCAGGGAGTCAGCTATGCTACCACTCAATCATTTCCCTAGCTTCAAATTCTAGTCTTTGGTGTGCCACAGGGGTATAGCTGAACTTTCTATGCTGCTGCCAGTGCATTTTCTTGGAAAGATGTAAAAACTGGGGGATTCTGAGAGCTTTCATTTATAACTTTGTATATTCCGGGATAGCACCATTATGGTAACCAGTTATATTTTGCCACTGTTCAAATGCTTAATTATATAATAAATGAATTCACTTGCAAATATAATTTAAGTGCTACAAATACTAGTGATATTATTCCTATCATGTTCTCTTGAGATCACAGTCTCTTCTTCTTATTAAATAAAAAAAAATAAACATATTAGGCAACCTGAGTTTTGAAAACCCAATTTAAGAATAGCTCTTACAGAACTGCTGTGGCTGGTGTCACCTCCTATGGAGAATGCCAACCTCCTTCTTAAGGACATTCTGCAAGATTTATCCATTCAACAAATATCAACTGAGGGCCCTCTATGTGCCAGGCATTGTTGCAGCACTAGGGATATACCAGTGAACATGAGAGGCAAAAATCTCTGCCCTGGAGGAGTGTACAGGGAGACAAACAAAAATAAAGTATGCCAGATGGTAATACATGTTACAGAGAAAAATAAAGCAGGGCGGGGGATAGGGAATTTCTTTTGAGGAATAGAAAGTTGTATTTTAAAAGACTGTGTTCAGGGAAGACCTCATAGGTAATACCTGAGTAAGGATCTGAAGGAGGTGATGGAGTAACTTCTATGGCTATATGGAGAAAGAGTATCCCAGACAGTGGGAATGGCAAATACAAAGGTGCTGAGGGGAAACATTTCTAAAGTATATGAGAGGCCATAAGGAGGCTAGATTCACTGAAACAGTGTTAAGTAGTGAGTGAGTACAGGAAGCGGGGCCAGAGAGGGAACAGAGGGGGCGATGATTATCATTTGGACCTTACAGGCAAATGTAATGAAGACTTGGGCTTTTACTCTGAGCTGAATACATAATTTAAGATGAGGAAGACATGATCTGACTTATATTTAAATGAGATTGCTGTGGTTAGTGTATTGAGAACAGTCTGAAGGAGGTTAAGAATAGAAGCAGGGAGACCAAAGTTCTGAAATAATCCAAGTGAAAGATGACAGAGATAACAATTATTTAGACCAAGATAGTGTCCTACGATTCTAGTGATGATATTAACTTTTGAAGGTAAAGCCCACAGGATTTGCTGAGAGTTTGAAGGCATATAGAATTTAACAAAAGAGAGAGTCGAAGATGACTCCAAGGATTTAGGCATAACCAACTAAAAGGGTACTATTTACTGAGATGGGAAAGACTTTGAACAGACCTGGTCAGGGAAGGGATATCAGTTCAGTCTGGACATGTTGTGTCTGAGGTGCTTACTAGACACATAAACAAGAAGAGATATCGAACAGGCAGTTAGATACAGGAGTCCGAAGTTGAGAAAAGAACTCAGGGATGGAGTTATAAATTTAGCATGTATCAGCATACAGATTGTATTTAAAATCATCCCACTAAAAAAAATCTCCAAAGCAGTGTTGTTAGAAAAGAGAAGTCCAAGTATTAAACCCTGAGGTTATCCAACATTAAGAGGCTGGGGAGATAAAGAGGAATTAGGAAAGGTGACTCAGGAGTAACCAATGAAACAGGACAAAAACCAGGCAAGTGTTGTTTCCTGGAATGAACAAAGGTTTTACAGTTCGGAATAGTGCTTAAGTCAAAAGTTGCTGAAAAGTCAAGAGAATTGAGGATATACACAAGAGAATGACTGTAAATGACACATTGTCGACTTGAAGCTATGTGCAGAAGGGGCTGAAATATGCGGGATAATAAAAAGATGTTAGGGTAAATGAACTGCAGGTTCCGATGAAGTTGAAGGGTACTAAAGGAAGTGAAATGGATAAACAAGAAGTAGTGAGTGGAGAGTGAGATACTTGGAAATGAGATTAGGGAGGTATTACAGTCATTGGTAATCACCTAGTCTAGGGTAAAACCATGGTATGAATGGCTGAAGTAGGATGGAGATCAAGGAACTGACAGGCCAGGGATCATCTATGATATCCATATAGATTCTATATGGATAGTAAAATCACCAAGAATTTTGACTGAAGTAGTGTTGGAGAGAGTGAACAGAAACCTTTAAGGAGTAAGGAGTGATCTGGGACAAGATTAATGAGCATCAGCTACTTTCCAAGTTTTATGCAAGGCACTGGGGACACAGTCAAGCAAACAGGCAGTTGTAACACAGTGTGCTGAGTGCTAGGATGGGCTATGCACATGATTTCGGAGAGCACCAAGGAAAGATCTTGGCAGTAGAGAAGAACTTCCTTTTAATTTAGATGGGGGAAGAAGAAAGAGTGCCTTCACACTATAGAGGTGGTGAAAAGAAATAGAATGTATTCTTTTTAGCTGTTGGGGTTTCTGAAAACAAAGGGAAATTTTCATTGATTCAGAAGCTAGGAAAATTGGGGGCTGGGGTAGAAAGATGGAGAGATATCTTGATTTAGCTGATACAAGAAATATGTAGTTCCAGTGATCCAAAGCTTCTCATTGGAATCAAGATTCATTTTCCCACAAAAAAAATAGAAAGATATAGTATAATCAGTACTATGTTGGTATACATAATTGCTCCAGTCTGCTTATACGCTTTTTTTGAACTATGTGAAACTTTGTCATCATTTATAAAATTATAATGGAAAAACTTGTGCTGAATTTTAAACAACTTCTAATATTTAAGAATACCATCCATTTTAAAGTTGGAAATTGCCTAACATATAAAGTCTATGTATATAAAGAAAAAAAAGGAAAAGCACAGCAAAAATTACTTAATGTATATATTTTTGCATGGTAGTATAACTGGAAATGATCACTAATTAGTAAAACAAAATTATAAAGGGAGGCTGGGCATGGTGCTGTGTGCCTGTAATCCCAGCTACTTGAGAGGCTGAAGCAGGAGGATCACTTGAGCCCAGGAGTATGAGACCATCCTGGGCAACACAGCAAGACTGTGTCCCCAAAAAAAAACTAAGAAAGAAATTATAAAGGTGATGGTATTAATGAATAAAAGCAAATACATGGATTCCATACTATGTAACAGACACTGCACCAAGTGACTTATAATCATTATCTCATTTGATCATTATAAGACCCTACGATGTACTAATGTCATTACATTCATTTAAAGATGGGAAAAATGAGGCTCAAAATAATCCTAAAGATTTTTGCCTTCCTCAGAAAACACGTATGTATTACCAGTCCCCTTGAAGATGTCAAAACGCTACTGAAAGGAAAAATAACCTTTATAAAAATGAATGACTATGGTGCCAAGAGACAAAATCTTATTTAAGCCCACATAAATACCTATATTAACTAAAATTCTAGATTTAAAATAACTTTTTTTTTAAAGAACCAATAGCATAATTCTTACCTCAATACAGGGACAAGAAATCCAACACCAGATTTTGCATGTGAACTCAATACACAATTTGACCATGATAACTGAGCATTAAATACATCACAGTAGATTTCACACATACAGAAAATTTAAGACCTACATTCAGAGAATTTGTTCTTAATCAGAATGATTACTTTTACTCAGAAGAATTATTCACATGACAAAACCTGCTCACAAATTAAATTCTATCAAAAAAAGATAAAACATCCTTACTGTCCCTGCTGTATCCAGGATTTCGAGCATACACTGTTGGCAATCTACTTCAACTTGCTGTGGGGGTGAAAAAAAAAGAAAAAATAAAGTAACATCAAAATGTCATTCTTTTTTCCTTCCACCTCTTCACTCAAAGTACCTATTAGCAACTATGAAGACTTTCTCCAGCAGTTTGCTGTACTGGCTAGGAATAAACTTGCCACCATAATAAAGAACAAGGGTCTCAAGCACAGACTATTAATACTACAGAAGCCAGGAGGGTTAATGCTGAGTTTAGACATCTTCTGACCACTGTCTTGATTTTTATTTGTTCTTACTAAAAGGCAAAAGGTCATATTTTGGAATTTAAGAAAAACTGCAATAAACAAGTATACTCGTAGTTCTAATAGGAAAAAAGTATATAAATATGTGTATTTATATTATCTTCAGAGAAAACAAGGCACAAAAATATTAAGTGGTTCAAAATGCACACAAGAAGATTTTAGGGTAAAGAAAATTTTGCCACTTTACCACCTTCAAATTGTTAAAATTTTACTAAAATCTGCACAAAATGTAATACACAGGAAAATTTGAATTTAAGACATAAAGGAAACATAGAAATGCTAAAATAAATAGCACCAAGCTTACACAATCCTTAAGTCTTTAAGAAAAAATCTGTGTAAAAGGAAAATTTTATATACTGAATTCCATTTTCCCACTGTCTTATAAAAGAAGGTTGGCCTGAAGAAAGTATCATCTATCAACTGTGTGGAAAACTTTTAATAAAGAAGGGATTAAGAAAAGTGAGTTCTTCAGCATTCTAGGCACAGATCTTGCTATGCAGTTAAAGGTTTAACTAGCAATTTATTTTTGGGAAATTTCAATAAAGCAATACTGTCTTCTAAAAATAAATGTGTTAACCTAAGGACTATTTTAAACTCTGCTTCTGTGTCGGATCGGAGACTGAGGAGCACCACTGGTGGTAATATAAACTCATCATCCCACCACTATGGGACAAGTGTGGTAACCTGCAAAATCTGTAACTGGGTGTGTTCAATGAATATGAATTACATCTATAGTTTCTCTATGTATCTTGAGCATAATTTTGTGTCCAATTTGAAGACAGTGAAATTGCTCTGCCAGTACTGCTTGATGAACTAAACTAATTCAA